GATTCTGCGGGATCCTGCAGGATCCTTCGCATGGACCCGCGAGAAGGAGACCCCAAGAATGGGAGGTTGATAGACCTCTTACCTTGACACGTCGATCAGCGAATTGGCCGTTTTCGGTTCGCGAGAGGGCGTCGCCGCCGTGATTTTTGCGGGTCCAGGTCCGGTGGTTTTGGTTCTAGGCCGCTTTCACTAAAGGGTGGTTTACTAAGGGGAGGTGTGTCGACCGCCGAGAGATGACGGCCGAGGGCTTCCCAAGACGTCCCAAAGACGGCCAAAGACTGGCCCAAGGTAGCTCCACGAAGCCCCAAAGCGGTCCCACCCCCCGTGGACTGCTCCATGACCCTCACAAGCAAAGCAAGACCCTCCCCACATGGACTCGAGACCCCGTCTCGACGGCTCCAAGACTTCAAAAGGCCCCATCAGAAGCCCCCGAGGGATCCCGAAAAGAGACACCGAGAGATCCCGCGATACGCACGCGCTGCATTGTGAGTTTGGTGGTGCCTCAGCGTGCGCAACGCGCGCGCTTGGTTCTAATCATCTGCGGGCTGAAAAGCGGTCCTGCTGGTTCCAACTGCGTGGCCATTCACAATTGTTTCAGCAAGCGATCGTTGGCTTCATGCTGCATCCTCCGTGCCGGTTGATTGCGCTGTTTGGCGTTTTCTGCTTCCAACCCCTCCTGCGTTGGGTTCTCGTTTGAATCGAGCACTGCAGCCTCCACCCTCCCGCCCTCTCTCCTCCCTCATCGTGCCTCCTCTTGCCCTCTACCTGGCTTGTACTTGCCTTGTGGAAGTCTATTAATGGAGAGGAAGCGTGCTGCCAAAAAAGTTCCAGATGTCTAACATATGTTTCAAACATGTTTTTAATGTTAAAAATCATGCTTGAACCATTTTTAGACCATGTTTTACACATTTTAAACACATCTTTAATTCAATGATCGGATTGTTAGAGTGTCCACTGTCATTGAATCCACAATACTTGCCTGTCAGCCTCACTCGACCTCGCCGCCCTACGTTGCCTCGCCATCCCTGGGCGGCTGCGATCTGCGACACCGTCGCCACGTTCGAGGGCTGGTGGGGGGTCCTGCGGAGTGGCGCCCCAACGCAGATTCAAGGGTAGACCTCGCCATCTCTGGGAGGCCGCGATCTTCGGAACCCTCGCCTCTTTCGAGGGCTGCTGGGGGTTTCAGCGGAGTGACGCCTCACGGTAGACTCGGAATTGACCTCGCCATCCTTGGTGGGGGCTGCGATCTGCGACGCCGTCGCCATTTTCGAGGGCTGCTGGGGGGTCAGCGGAGTGACGCCTCGCGACAGACTCATATTAGACCTCGCCATCACTTGGGGGCTGCGATCTGCAAAATCGTCGCCACTTTCGAGGGCTGCCGAGGGGTCCAGCGGAGTGATGCCCCACGGCAGACTCATATTATACGTCGCCATCCCTGGGTGGCTGCGATCTGCGAAACCCTCGCCACTTTCTAGGGCTGCTGGGGGATCCAGCGGAGTGGCGCCCAACTGCAGACTCATATTAGGTCTCGCCATTCTTGGGGGGCTGTGATCTGCGAAACAGTCGCCATTTTCGAGGGCTGCTGGGGGGTCCAGCGGAGTGTCACCCCACGGCAGACTCAGGCTAGACCTCGCCATCCCTGGTTGGTTGCTATCTGCGACACCGTGGCCACTTTCGAGGGCTTCTGGAGGGTCAGTAGAGTGACGCCCCGCGGCAGACTCAGACTAGATCTCGCCGTCCCTTGGGGGCTGCGATCTGCGACGCCGTCGCTACTTTCGAGGGCTGCTGGGGTCCAGCGGAGTGACCCCCCCCCCGCGGCAGACTCATATTGTACCTGGCCATCCCTGGGAGGCTGCGATCTGCGACGCAGCCGCCCTTTTCGGGGACTGCTGGGGGTTCCAGCGGAGTGACACCCCACGGTAGACTCAAGTTAGACCTCGCCATCCTTGGGGGGCTGCGATCTGCGAAACTGTCGGGTCCAGCGGAGTGACAGCCTACGGCAGACTCAGAATTGACCTCGCCATCCCTGCGAGGCTGCGATCTGCGACACAGCCGCCTTTTTGTGAGAACTGCTGGGAGGTCCAGCGGAGTGGCACCCCACGGCAGACTCTGGTTAGACCTCGCCATCCTTGGGGGGGCTGCGATCTGCGAAGCCGTCGCCACTTTCGAGGGCTGCTGGGGGGTCCAGAGGAGGGACACCCCACTGCAGACTCACAGTATGCATCGCCATGCTTGTGGGGCTGCGATCTGCGACGCCGTCGCCACTTGCGAGGGCTGCTGGGGGGGGGGTAGCTGAGTGACAGCACATGGCAGACTCAGATTTTGATCTCGCCACCCCTGGGGGATGGCGATCTGTGAATCCGTCGCCATTTTCGAGGACTGCTGTGGGGTTCCAGCGGAGTGGCGCCCCACCGTCGATGCAAAGGCAGGCCTCGCCATCCCTGGGAAGCCGCGAATTGCGGAACCGTCGCCACTTTCGAGGGCTGCCGGGGGTCAGCGGAGTGACGCTCCTCGGTGGACGCATCGTTGACCTCGCCATCCCTGGGGGGCTGCGATCTGCGAATCCATCGCCACTTTCGAGGCTGCTGGGGATTCAGCGGCGTGACATCCCACTGCAGACTCAGACTGGACCTCCCTATCCTTGGGTGGCTGCGATCTGCAACAGCGTCGCCACCTTCGAGGGCTCCAGCGGAGGGACGCCCCACGGCCGACTCAGGTTAGACCTCGCCATCCCTGGGTGGCTGCGATCTGCGAAACCGTCGCCACCATTCTTGAGGGCTGCCCGGGGGGACCCCGCGGAGTGGCACCCCACGGCGGACTCGGAGTGCACCTCGCCATCACCGGGGGGCGGGCCCCAGCAGGCCCCAGCAGGCGTGGGCAACAGCACCGCCTGAGCATGCTGAGGTCGGACAGCAGCGGTGCGCAAGTACAGTCGGGGCCCCGAAGAAGGAACCCTTTTGGTTGGGGAGGGGCTCCGCGTTCCTGAAGTGTTTCGCAGCTTGCCCCGGGTTTTCCTCGTGTTTTCGATGGGGAACCGAAGCTTAACTTATGGAAAAAAGGGGCCTCGTTCCTTATTTGGGGTTCCTCAGGTCAAGGCCCCGACGGTACACCGTGTAGCGCACGCTCGTGCCACTGCTCCTGCGCCTGGTGACAGGGCTTCGACCCGGGGGGGCCAGAGGAGGGTCACCCCACGGCAGACTCATATACTATGCCTCGCCATCTTTGCGGGGCTGCGATCTGCGACACCTTCGCCGTTTGCGAGGGCTCTTGGTGGGTCCAGCTAGGTGACGTCCTACGCAGACTCAGATTAGACCTCGCCATCACTGGGGCGCTGCGATCTGCGAAGCCGTGGCCTTTTTTGAGGACTGCTGGGGGGTTCAGAGGAGTGCCGCCCCATGCAGATTCAGACTAGACCTCGCCGCTCGCCGTCCCTGAAAGGCTGCGATCTGCGAAACTGTCGCCACCTCTGGGGAACGAACGAAGCAGCCATACGGCAAAAGCGCGTGGGCAAGGACAGGCAGAGCGACACGCCAAATGCGTGCAATTAAACATTTTCGTCAAGCAGCCTGCCAAAGTACAGAGACACGAACTTCAACATAGTAATACAAAGCGCCCGACTGTGAAGCAGAAACAAAAAAAGCAGAGCGCCCCACGACTGTGAAGCACAATCCCATTTCTCACGGCTAATCATCGGTGTGAGCCCGGCCTGGGATGACATAGCCCGCAGCTGGGGAATCCAGCGGAGTGACGTCTTACGTAGACTCAGATTCGACCTCGCCATCCCTGGGGGGGGCTGCGATCTGCGGAACCGTCGCCACTTCTGGGGGTTGCTGGGGAGCCCAGCAGAGTGACCTCTTGCGCAGACTCAGACTGGACCTCGCCTTCCCTGGGTGGCCACGATCTGCGGAACCGTCGCCACTCTTGGAGGGCCGTTGCGGGGTCCAGCGGAGTGACGCCTGACGCAGATGCAGGATGCAGGTTGGACCTCGCCATCCCTGGGGGGCTGCGACCTCGCGATCCCTGGGGGGCTGCGATCTGCTGGTGGGTCCAGCTGGGTGACGTCCCACTGCAGACTCAGATTGGACCTCGCCATCCCTGGGGGGCTGCGAACTGCGGGACTGTTGCCACTTTTGAGGGCTGTTGCGTGGTTCAGTACAGTGACGTCCTACGCGGAATCATATTCGACATCATCATCCTTGGGGGGCTGCTCGCTGTGAACCTGTCGCCACTTTCGAGGGTTGCTGGGCGATTCCAGCATAGTGCCGTCCCACGCGGACTCATATTGACCTTGATTTCCTGCCCGAAGACTTGGCGGCGCGCCCGCGGCCGTTTAGCCCCCGCACTGCAGGGTGCAGGGAGGAAGCGGAGAATTTGGCGGGCGAGCTCCGTCTCACTCGCTTTTTGCACAGGCTTTGAACACCTGATCCTCTGAGCACCAAAGAGGCATGGCGCAGGCCGCGCTGCTTGTCCAGCGTGCCACTGGAAAAATGATCGCCGCCCTCCGTCGTCATCCTGCCTCTCTCGTTGTCGTCCACTTCCTGCCCCCCACCGTCTCACTGCTGCTGTCGCTTTAACGTTTCGGCCTCCCTTCCGTCCCTTTCCGACCCGCCCGTTCCGACCCCCACTTCGTTTATGAGCCTGGGGCTTCAGTCCTCGTTTTTCTGTTGCTGCCCTGTGAGTCGTGCAACGCGTGCGCTTCTTGTATAGCTTGCAGAACTAGTGGCAGCCATACTATTATGGACAAGCTCTTCTTGCCACTTAATGCAGATGGGTTGGGTACCTCGCAGGATAAGTTGTTTTGCGTCCCACCTTGACTCGAAACACGTGTCGGCGGGCAGCGGTGGTTAGAGAGATTTGCCAGCCGGCTTTTGCGCTCATCCTGCCACCGCCGCCCACCAATCCGCGTACGTCATTCTATTCCTTTACGGAGGGCGCCGCTTACTCAGCTGCTGCTGTTCCATTGTCTCTGCTGCTGTCTTTGCACGGCGCCGCTTTTGCAGGACGAGGTGAATGCTGAGAAGAAGTTCCTCCGCCAGCCAAACATGCGGCTGCTGCATGCTAGCGCCCCGCTGACATTAGGACCCTGCTCAGAGTTTGGGAGGTGTCTTGGGAGGTTGTTGCGCCCTTGCGGGGGGACGTATCGTGGAGTTAAGAGCGTCGTCAGGAGATTCCTTCGAAATGCAAGAGACTGGAGTTGAGTTCGAGATGACCGCCCCTGCGTGTTCTTGGTCCTCGTGGGACAGGTCGGGGGAGATGCGGACGTCCCATGCGCCAGGGAACCCTCAAGATGGCGGCGAACTGTCTGGGCACAGGAGGAACCAGGTGGGCTCGTGCAAAGAGATCGGAGGGCGCCAGTGGCAGTCGGTGTGGGGGGGTCAGGATCGCGGCGGGACTGGGTCGCGGAACGCATCGTTTCGCCCGCCACTCAGACGCTGTGCATTCTTTCGGGAGCGAGGGGTCACGAACGAGCTGTTGAGAACCACCCTTCCTTGCACTCGCTTCCATCCTTCCAATCTGTTCCGCTGGGGCGCCAGCTGCGCAAGCACGAGTCTGATGCCGTAAGCACGCAGTGGCACCGGTTTTCGGCCAGCACCCTTTTCGCCAGTTGTGACCGTCTCCCCCTCTCAGCCGCTCCCCCGCCGCCCCTTTAGAACGCATTCCTGCTTCCTTTCTTCAAGACGCTTTGCGTTCACCGCCCGCCCGTTCCAGTTCTCGCCAGAAGAGTCGGAGACTGCTCCAAGGCTGTGGATGAAATATCAGTACGAGCGTAGTCAAGGACGGCCTCGAAGGTGTGTTGTGTATTTCTTCTTGCGCTCGATTTCTCCGTCGCATCGCCGATTGGACTCAGGCATGCCGCGTGGCTGATGGATGAAGCAGTTGTCGTTTGATAGTCGGCCCGTCATCATTACCAAGGAATCAGTAATATGGACGCTGGGTCTCTGGACCTTCGCTCCTTATCCACAGCAGGAGGCCAGAGATAATTGCGCCTGCTTCGTTCAATCAATCAAGAGGCATACGTCATTCTGCCGATCCCCAGAAGAGGAAATGTGCGACTTCCGATTTCGTATGCATCATTTGCCGCGTCCCGTTGTGCTGTCTGCGCCTGGTTGTTTCTGTCTTGGCCCTCTCTTCCTCCGCGTCCGTTGTGGGGCGTCTTGGTGGCCTCTGGGGCTGCCTTTTGGGAGGCTATTCAGGGTTCCTGCGTGCTATTTGGGGCCCTTTGAGAGCTCATTGGGTCGCTTGGGGCATCTTGGGGGCATCTTGCGTGCCATCTTGCGGGGCAAGGACTCTGGGGCCCTGACCAGTTCTCCCACTCGGGCTTCCCTAGCCCCTCTTGGGGCCCCCATCGAAGGCCCTTTTGGCTGTCCGGAGGGCCTCTGGGGCAACCTCGGGGCCCTCCTGGGCCACCTCCAGGCCCTCTTGGGGGCCCCTTCGGCTGCCAATCCGGAGGGCTTCTCGGCCGTCTTGGGATTCAGAACCTTTGACATGGCGAGAATGCGGAAATCGTGCAGCACGAAAAGAACAGCAAACATCTTGCCTCTTAAGGCCCCTCGGCCAGAGGCCTCTCTGGCGCGTCGGAGCCCTCCTTGGGCCATCCTGGGGGGGCATCTTCCTGGACATCCCCGGAGGCCCCGGCGGGTGGGATTCTGTCGGAGGCTCCGAGAGCCGGGGAGGTGCGCCACCCGCGCGAGCGCGATTTCTGGACACCAGAAGAGGAGGAGGAGGAGGAGGAGGAGGAGGAGGAGGAGGAGGAGGAGGAGGAGGAGGAGGAGGAGAGGAGGAGGAGGAGGAGGAGGAGGAGGAGGAGGAGGAGGAGGAGCTTTCGTTCCCCTCGAGTGGAGGGCCAGGGCAGCCGCACGTCTCACGCACCCCTTCGCCCCCGGCAGGCGTGGGTCGGCGGCTATGGGGCATCCGGAGCGTTTCTCTCCGAGGGTCGGAGCGGGGATCTGCCCGCTGTGCGACCGCTTCGGCGCTCTAAGAGTGCTGCGGATTCATTCGGTTGAGTGGGCATTGGGCATTTTCTTGGGTCGCACCGCGGGCTCTGTTGATGGCGGTGGTGGTGGTGGATGATGATGATGATGATGATGATGATGATGATGATGATGATGATGATGATGATGATGATGATGATGATGATGATGATGATGATGATGATGATGATGATGATGATGATGATGATGATGATGATGATGATGATGATGATGATGATGATGATGATGATGATGATGATGATGATGATGATGATGATGATGATGATGATGATGATGATGATGATGATGATGATGATGATGCTGATGATGATGATGATGATGATGATGATGATGATGATGATGATGATGATGATGATGATGATGATGATGATGTTGGTGGTGCTGGTAGTGATGGTGGTGGTGGTGGTGGTGGCGGTGGTAGTGAGGAGGAGGAGGAGGAGGAGGAGGAGGAGGAGGAGGAGGAGGCGGAAGGGATACGAGGAGGACATGCCTCTGCTTCTCGGTGGGCCGTACACTGCCGAGCGAGCTGCGGCAGATGCTGGATCGAGGTCGTCGGAGGGCAGCCTGGATCTCACACTCGATCCTTTGATCTGTCCGCGACCCAGAATCCCCCGCGCTCCCAGCCCAGACCTTGCCGGCGCAGGATCTCCTGTTGGGGGGTGCCAGACGGTGTGGTGACCACGCCACGTGGTGAGTCAGTGGGGATTCGGGGCCACCGCACGGTTTTTGGACTCGGGCTGTTCACCGAGGACGCCTCGGTCGACACCGGCCTGCGAGGTTCCTCGACCGTTCGGGCGACGGACCCCGCGGCGAGGTCCCCGATCCTGGCGACCCGGCATCCCGGCCGTGGATCTCGTGATCCACATCCATCACGCCTGGATCACCCGCTTTCTTGCACCCAGGCTCTCCCTGGGGAACAAAAAGTGGCATAAACATAAAAACTCGGAGGTCCGCGCGGATTTCTCGGATCGGCGCTGGGGCCCCCCGGCGGCGCCTCCGGCGCCGCCCCTGGCGCGCTCCGCGCGCCAGAGAGGGGGGTCCAGCGCCGATCCGAGAAATCCGCGCGTGCCTCCGAGTTTTTATGTTTATGCCACTTTTTGTTCCCCTAGGGGTCGCAAGAGTGCGGGCGATCCAGGCTCTCCCAGCCCGGAGGGACAGCCCGCGGACCTCCGGCCCCGGAGGAAGCCCGGCGACCCACCGGCAGCCGCGGTTTTTCCCTCCCTCGCCCGTCGCGCGGCGTCGGCAGCGGCACCCAGCACGGCGTGTGCTCGCTTCGAGACGCGCCGCCCGCTCCCGCTGCCCAGCCCGAGAGGAGCGACCCCGAGGTGGGTCTGTCCCCGAGGTTAGGGGAACAAGAAAGTGGCATAAACATAAAAACTCGGAGGTCCGCGCGGATTTCTCGGATCCGCGCTGAATCCCCCTCCCGGCGCGCGGAGCGCGCCAGGGGCGGCGCCGGAGGCGCCGCTGGGGGGCCCCAGCGCGGATCCGAGAATTCTGCGCGGACCTCTGAGTTTTTATGTTTATGTCTTTATGTCATTGTTTGGTTCCCTATACCCAGTTTAAACGATCCTCATCCCCATCTCCATTCCCTCCAGACCCCCACCGTCTCAGCATCCCATTTGGGCATGTGCCCCTCGGAGCCCGAAGGAAGCAGTCTGGGTCCCCATCTGCGGGGGTAAATCGGCCAGCGGGGCACAGGCCACGCCCATGGGGCGCGCCGAGCTTGAGGAGGAGGAGGAGGAGGAGGAGGAGGAGGAGGAGGAGGAGGAGGAGGAGGAGGAGGAGGAGAGGAGGAGGAGGAGGAGGAGGAGGGGGAGGAGGAGGAGGAGGAGGAGGAGGAGGAGGAGGAGGAGGATGGGAGGAGGAGGAGGAGGGGGGGGAGGGGGCGGAGGGAGGAGGGAGGAGGAGGAGGGAGGAGGGAGGAGGGGGGGGAGGAGGAGGGGGGAGGGGGCAAGCTAGGTGCGCTCGCGTCATATCTGACGTCCTACCCCTCCCTCCCATCCCTTATCATGGCGCTGATTTTCTCTATCCGCGGACGCGAGTCGTAGCGGACCTGTGGCTCCGCGCGCGCGTGCGTAGTGGGTGGTGGTGCGCGTGCGTGCGTGCGTGCGTGTGTGCGTGGTTTTGGTGGTGGTGGTGGTGGTGGTGGTGGTGGTGGTGATGGTGGTGGTGGTGGTGGTGGTGGTGGTGGTGGTGGTG